CTGCTTGGTTCCAAACAAAAAATTTGACCTGCATTACCTGTGGATTAGCAACATTTTACTGTGCATAGTTAAACTATCCAAAACAACCATAAAGAACGGCGGTTGCCCCACAGCTGCAGTTTTATCGTTGCCATTGATTGTGGAAAGTACTACATATTGATTTGTTAAAAATGCATTACATATAAGTATAATGCGTAAATTGCTGCCCATACTTATGAACATCATTGTCTTGTGAAGAGGAAGATGCTGATGAAACCTGTTAACAAATAAAAGAGTTAGTTGACGTACACTGAACAAGTCTAGAAAATTATTGTAGTCGTTCANCGCAAAATAAAGTAAAATAATACATTGTTTTTTATACTTAAATGAAGTTCATATAATTTGCTGTAATAGCACTTACTTGCGTCCCTCGGCTGATGGCTGGCCTACCATCGAGACGATCGTTGATGGCATATATATTTAGTAAAATGAATTTTTTTTTAAAATTGCTATAATTCGTTGTTCGACACGTTTTCCTATTGAAGAAGGTGCTTCGGAATTGTTATCAGTGCTTAGTGTTTCGGGATCATAAACAACCCTATCATCGAAATCGGTTGTTTGATCGCTCAAACGAAGATTATGTAATGTTGCGCACGCGTTGACTACTCGGCCAGCAAAACCGGGGTCATACAAAAGAACTCTTTGCTGTGATAAGCACCGCCATGTACCTTTAAGGACGCCAAAGAGTCTCTCGATCGGGTTACGCGCTTTACATAGTGCCTCGTTGTACAGAAACTTTGGCGTTCCTTCTGGCTCGTTAGGTACAGGTGTCATCATCCATGGCTCCAACTGATATCCAGAATCGCCTGTAATTATTTTCTTTTAATATTCTCATTCATATGGAATAAAATAGCTTACCAATCAAAAATGTGTTGTGATTTCCATTTTCAAACGACCGCTGCATGACCCGACGCGCTGCAGAGAAGCTCCAAATAAATGAATCATGCCGTGCTCCCGGAAATTTTGCATTTACGTTTAAAATTTTAAGATTTGTGTCACATATCTATAAGTTTTAACAATCATAAAATAACAGTATAAATGTACCAGATTTGTTCTTACCATTTGCACGTTGATCGAATGGTACCCATGGTGATTGACATAATTTGATTCCTTATTTTTGGGAGCCAAAATAGAGACATGAGTGCAGTCGATTGCGCCGATAGTTCCTGCTACAAATGGTGAAGGTGCAGACGCAAAAATTTCCTTTGCCGCTTGGCACTCCAGTTGCGTCATAGGGAACTTCACTTTAGTGGTAAACATTGAATTGTTGATCGCGTCAGTCACACGGTGTATGCAACGGCTTATCGATGTTTGGCTCATGGAAATGCCCCACTGTTCTCCTACTGGGCGTTGATAACATCCAGTGGCATAAAAGCTTAGAGCCGCTAGAACCTTTAACGAGTACATAAACACATACTTATATAAGATGCTTTCTAGCGGTAGTACGAATTAAATGTTTTACAGGAAAAGCTGTTCCACGTCCCATAACGTTTATTAAAGGTAAAAACAGATATTTCAGTAAACCCTGCAGTTCGTAC